ATATATAGTTTTATTGAGGGATATAGGCTGGTAACTTGCCAAACAGCTAAAGAGAAGAGAAATGTAGAATTGAAAAAGTACAAGTTGGGCGCCTGGGTGGCTCAGTTGGTTAAGCGACTGCCTTCGGCTCAGGTCATGATCCTGGAGTCCCGGGATCGAGTCCCGCATGGGGCTCCCTGCTCGGCAGGGAGTCTGCTTCTCCCTCTGACCCTCCCCCCTCTCATGTGCTCTCTCTCATTCTCTCTCTCTCTCAAATAAATAAATAAAATCTTAAAAAAAAAAAAAAGTACAAGTTGAGGCAACTAAACTTTTTTCTTTTTGTCCTAGAACAGGGACTCAACTACTTGATGAAGAAATGAAAGATTGTATATTTTTCCTATTAATGTTTAATGATGATCTCTGAAGGAAATGCAAAGCAAGTTACATAATGATCATTTTAAGTTCTGTACTGTGTTTTATATCTTTTTTTTAAAAGATTTTATTTATTTCAGAGAGAGAAATCAAGAGAGACCAAGCAGGGGGAGGGGCAGAGGGAGTGAGAGAAGCAGACTCCCCCCTCTGAGCAGGGAGCCCGACATGGAGCTTGATCCCAGGACCCTGGGATCATGACCTGAGCTGAAGGCAGACGCTCAAAAGACTGAGCCATTCAGGCGCCCCTTGTCGTTATATCCTACTGATACTTTGTGGTCTTGAGTAGCTCAAAAGGAATTTTCAGAATCTTGAGGTCAAGAGGTTTGCCAGTGAGGACTTTTGTACTCTTCTTATCAAATCAGTTCATAGCTAGGGCTGTCTTTCATTCACTATACTATGCTCAAGAGCTTACTTTTTTCCTCTGTTCATCAAATCTTTATTTGAACATCCCTTAAGACCTATTTCATGATTTCCCCATTGTCATTTGGTGCCTGTAAATCAAACTACTTAGTAGATCAGAGTAATTGCTGTCCTTTTAAAGGATGCATTTTTTAAAACCTTTTGTTTGTTTTCTTTTGATAGAAGACTTTTCTGGTGAGATTATTAGTTATGATATTAATGAATGTGATTATGTGGTACTATAAATGAAATGTGTCAATATTTGGAAGATCTGCATAACTCTGTGAATCAGTATTTTCTAAATGACCAAATGCATGATGGTACAAAATCATGCATTGAGTAGAAGATATATTTAAAGTGCAAGATAGATGAATGGAATTTAATGTAAGAGTATGAAATGCTTATTAATACAGTTTCAGATTCCACATTGCAGCTAACCTTTATTTTTAAAAAATTTTTTTTGAAGATTTTATTTATTTATTTGACACAGTGAGAGAAGGAACACAAGTAGGGGGAGTAGGAGAGGGGGAAGCAGGCTTCTCCGCAGAGCAGGGAGCCCGATGCGGGGCTCGATCCCAGGACCCTGGGATCATGACCTGAGCCAAAGGCAGATGCTCAATGGCTGAGCCAGCCAGGTGCCCCTGCAGCTAACCTTTAAGAAACTTCCACTTGTTGAGTTTTGGTATAGTATCTAAGAAGAATATATCTAGAATTATTTGACAAGGCTATTAAAATACTCCTCTCTTTTTAAAGTACATATTTGAGTGAGGCTGGATTTTTTTTTCATATCCTTCAGCCAAAACAACATATTGCAACACTAAACGTAAAAGCAGATATGAGAATTCAGCTCTTTTATTAAGCCAGACATTAAAGAGATTTGCAAGAATGTAAAACAATGCCATGCTCTGTTTCTTTTGGAAATCCTAGTGATTCCATTAAAAATATTTCTATGTTAATATGTAGTAGGTTTGTTATTTTAAAATGAATTAATAAATATTTTAAAAATCTCTGGGTTTTCATTTTTTATATAGTAAATTTAATCCCTATAATTCATCTACACAGAAGCTCTTTGGTGTTCTCAGTACTTTTTTTTAAAAGAGTGTAAAAGGTATCCAAGACCAAAATGTGTAAGAACCTTTGGTGTAGTGCTTAAGCAGGGACTTGGAGCCAAATTGCTTAAGTTTGAAACTCAACTTGATTGCTTAATAGCTCTGAACAAGATATTGAACTACTTTTTGCCTCATCTATAAAGTATAGTAATATAGTGTATAAGGATGCGATATGGATTAACTTGAATATATGAAAAGTTCTTAGAATTTGTATAGCATTTGGCAAGCTGTATAATTATCACCTGTTGAACATTGGTAGTGTAACATGTGTTCTCCTTTATTGATGCTAAATTTCCAGCTTTCTAGAGATTGGGTGTTTTGGGTATTAACACTGTCAACTCTTATCAGTAGAGTCCTGTATCCACAGATATGCTGTATCCGCAACCTTTTCTGTAATCCCTTTTCCTCCAAGTCCATGGTTCTCAACCTTTGCTTTGCATTCGAATCACCTGGGAGCTTGAATTTAAAACAAACACCCCAATACCCAAGACCTCGGAGAGGGATCTCAGGTTAACCCAATTGAACCAAAATCAGGAGGTGGAGGGTAGGGCCCAAGTATCAGTATTTTTAAAGCTGTCTAGGTGATTCCGTTGCAAAGACTGGTAACCATTACTCTGGAGTCTGATCTTCTGCCTGGAGGTTCCGCCTTTCCCTCCGTGTTCTCCAGTAAATTGGAGCTGATTTCTCTCTCACACCCTTTATACCATTGTGCCTAGAGGTGTGTAGGTGTTCTCCTTGCTCTTCAGTGCTGCTACCACGGAAATTGTCATTCCCTTTTCCCTAAAATTCTCTACGTAAATGATTTAATATGCATATAGATGATTCTTCCCAGCCAGGCACGCTCTTGGTGGTACTCCACACCTTGTCAGTCCCAGTTACAGACCACCTCTGCTCCCTCGGTTGTAACCGTCCTGTTCTCTGACCACACCTCCCATCTCTCCAATTCATTCTTTTTAGTAGTTATCTGTTACTATGTTTTCTGTTAGTTATCAAACCTATTAGTCTTTTTATTCAGCCAATAGCACTGGCCCTGTTACTGCCGGACACCTACTGATTGACCTAATTGGAGGAGCAAACCTCACCCTAATGAGCATTAGCCTACCAGGCTTTTATTACCTTTGTCATTCTTTTTTTTTTTTACCTTTGTCATTCCTATTCTATTCACGGTCCTTGAATTTGCAGCAGCCCTGGTTCAAGGTTATGTATTTTTCCTATTAGTAAGCCTTTCCCCATGTAATAATACCTAATGATCCACCAAACTCAGGACCATTGGTTCTGCCACCCTTTCACGAATTCTCACCTCCCTTACAAACTTGCTTGTCTTTTTCCTGGCTTAACGTCCACGGTTCATAATTGTAATCATTCTTTTGCAAACCCTCTAAGATCTTTGCCTCTCTTTCTGTTGTGCTTTTCTGGCAAAGTCCCAAGCTTTGTTAAATCCAAATTCCTCTCACTTCACATTTGCACCCAGGCAATGAAATTTATGCTAATTGGTCTCACTTAAAAACCATCCCTCTAACCTCAGTAGGGCTTTTAGTGCTATCTGGAATTCTTCCTACATTTCTCCAGTCCATTTAGTCTACTAAATGTCTCTTCTAAGTGACTATTTCATACTTTCTTCTCCAACTTACAATATCCTTTCCTTCTTCCTGACTCCCGTTTGATGACCTTCCTTCCTGTTTCTAGGAGAAAAGAGAAGCTCTCTGGACCACATGCTCCTTTCACCTCATGGAACAACCTGCCTGCACTTAACACTCATTTACTTGGCTTTTCCTCCCGTTTCTATGGGTGGACTCTCTGTGCTCATTTCTAAGGCCAGCCCTCTTGGAGATCCCATCCCTGTCTACCTATTTGCTTTCTTTCCTCCTGCTATTCTGCCTCCTACCCCCACTTTATTCCCCACCCTCACCTTATTCCCCACCCCCTTCGCTACATGGACATTCCAGCAGAGGACAAACATCTGAGCAGAACTTTCCCTTGGACCCCACACTCCCCACTAGTTGCCAGTTTGAATTGTCTGTCTTAGCTATGTGCACTTTCTACGTATCCTTTCTTCAATGCTTGACAGTTCCGTTTTACATTACCAAAGAGCACCTGCTGAGGATGCTATTCATGGGTGTGTCACTGGGCCCAGTGGCCAGCTTTCAGGCTTCCTTAACTCACCTTGTTAACACCATTTCACACAGCTGATCACCTCTTTCTCCTTGAATCACACTCCCTTCCCTAGGCTTCTGGGATGCGTGCTGTATGGTGCTCAGTAGCATTTATTACCATCTACTGATCTATTTCATTGTTTGTTGTTTATTTTGGCCCACTAAAATGTAAGTTCTTGGAGAGCAAGGGCTTGGCTTGTTTTCTTTACTGCCTAGAATGGTGGCTGATGCTTAATAATAGGCATTTGATAGCTATTGTTGAATGAATGAATGTGAGCTTCACAATGACTGTCTGTTGACCAGATTTTCTCCCGTTCCCAGCTCCTTTCTTGCTCATAAGCTGTCATGGCCATTTCCTTCCTCTCTCTGGACCTTGCATTTCCTGATTTATTTTCCCTCTTCTCTACTCCATTCCTATCATTTCTAGGCCAAACCATCACCGGTGCGCTTATATTTCTGTGGGGCTCTGGTGTTTACAGAGCATTTATTAATATCTGGTATTACAGATGCAGATGGTGTGGGGATCTGGGTTGAATGATATTAGCATATAATGCTGGATTTATGTGCAGATGGAAAAAAATTAAAATTATAAAAGAATAAGAAGGAAATTAAGTCTTCTAGGGCTAAAATGATGGTCTTCTAGGATATTTAGGTTTCTCGTTTTATCACTGCCCTGCTCTACACTTTACGTTTCTGTCTCCTCATGATGGAATTCCGCCTTGACTTTCTGCCAGGATTTGTAGAAGGCCGGCAAAGTCACCAAGCTCAAAAGATGCTTCTAACTTCAGTTCTGTGTTAATTGCTAATTAAGAGTGATCTGTTCCTCTTAGATTTTCATAACTCTTTCCCTCTATGTTGCTGTGCTCATGTGATACTGGATTTGTATGAAAATTCCTTTTTCACTGGCCTTTTATGTTTGGCTCCGCAGAACCTTGCCTCCTGGAACCCTTCAAACCCTGAATGTCTGTTGCTTGTGGTGAAGGAGCTCGTGCAACAGTACCACCAGTTCCAGTGCGGCCGCCTCCGGGAGAGCTCCCGCCTCCTGTTTGAGTACCAGACGCTGCTGGAAGAGCCTCAGTACGGAGAGAACATGGAAATTTACGCCGGGAAGAAGAACAACTGGGTAAGGTGTTTTTGAGGATGGGAAAAAAAGGCACTTCCTTTGTAATAAAGTAATCAATTCTGATGTTCATTTGTAGTCATTCCCAGCCATTTCCTTAGGTAAACATGGTTTCAGGTGCCTGTGTACTTTCTCGAAATTTCTGTGTAATTCCTCGGGGAGGAATTATATGAGAGGGTGAATACCAGGGACCATTGGGAGCCACTTAGAAGCAGAAGGGACTTAAACGTTCATCTGGTTCATCATGTTCCTCAAAATGATCACCTGGGGAAGTTTGTAAAATTTGGAGTCTTCTGTCCTCATCCCCAGATGTTCACGAGTCGGGGTGAAACCTCGGGACCTGCCTGTATAATAAGGGTCCCTTGGAGGTTCTGAGGCCGGTCACATAGGCCACATATTTGAGACACTGACGAGAGCCCCTTCCTTTTCGGTGTAGAACGTCTCTCTCTCCCAGTCAGACAAGAGAGGTCAGTAACTCTGGAGGTAGCTAGCTGGTCTGGAGCCTTTTATAATCTCTTTTTGTAATTTTTTGACTTTGTAGGATCTTACAAACTCAAGTTGGATCGTGTCTCTCCTCTTCCCAGAACTCAAACATACTCTCTGTTTCTCACGTGCTAAAGCCAGAGTCCCTCCAGTGGCGCAGAAACGCCCTACGTGCTTCCCATCACCACCACCCTCCACGCATCACTGCTTCTCTCACTTCGTCTCTTACTTTCCTGTCTAAAAGTTTCCAGTTCCACCGTACTAGCACCCTCGCTGTGTGCAGACACACAGGTGTGCTCCTGCCCTAGGGTCTCTGTGTAGCGTCCCCTTGTCTGGCATATTTCCCCTAGATATTCTCATGGCTGACACCCTTCCTTTTTAGGTTTTACTCATATGTTATATTCTCTGTGATGCCTGTGTTAACACCCCCATTTTTTTTTTTTTTTAAGTAGACTCCATGCTGGCTCCCGGGATGGGGCTTGAACTCACGACCCTAAAATCAAGACCTCAGCTGAGATCAAGAGTCAGTTGCTTAACCGACTGAGCCACCTAGGTGCCCCCACACCCCCAATTTTTTTAAGCAACTTTTTTGAGGTATAATTTACGTACTGTAAATTCACCTGTTTTTTTTTTTTTTCCAAGATTTTATTTATTTGACAGAGAGAGCACAAGCAGAGGGAGAGAGAGAGAGAGAGAAGCAGGCTCCCCGCTGGGCAAGGAGCCCGATGTGGGACTCGATCCCTGGACCCTGGGATCATGACCCGGGCTGAAGGCAGCCGCTTAACCAACTGAGCCACCCAGGTGTCCCAAATTCACCTGTTTTAAGTGTCCCATTCAATGATTTTTAATACATTTGCCAAGTTGAGCAGCCACCACCACAATCCAGTTTGAGAATGGTTCCATCACCCCGATAAGATCGCTCATGCCCATTTATGGTTAATCCTCTTCCTACCCCTATCCCAAGACAAAGTAGTTGGGAACTACTAAACTACTTTTTCTCTGTATAGGTTTTCTTCATACAATGGTGTTCTTTTGTGGCTGGCTTCTTTCACTTAGCATAATATGTTTGCACTTCTTCCACGGCATAGCATGTGTCTCTGCTTGCTTTCTTTTTGTGGCTGAATGATTCCATTGTATAGACATACCACATTTTGTTTCTCCATTTACCTATTGATGGACATTTGGGTTGTTTCCACTTTTTGACTCTTATGAATAATGCTACTACAAACATTCACATGCAAGTCTTTGTAACACCCCCCCTTTTTAAAAGATTTTATTTATTTATTTGAGAGAGAACACGAGCAGTGTGGGGTGGAGGTGGGAAGAGCAGAGGAAGGGGGAGAAGCAGACTCCCCGCTGAGCATGGAGCCCCACCTGGGGCCCGATCCCAGGACCATGAGATCATGACCTAAGCCAAAGAAGGCAGATGCTTAACCGACTGAGCCACCCAGGCACCCTATGTAACACCTCCTTTTTTTTTTTTATTAAAGATTTTTTTTTATTTATTTGACAGAGAGAGACACAACGAGAGAGGGAACACAAGCAGGGGGAGTGGGAGAGGGAGAAGCAGGCTTCCGCAGAGCAGGACCCTGAAATCATGACCTGAGCCGAAGGCAGACGCTTAATGACTGAGCCACCCAGGCGCCCCTGTAACACCCCTTTTTAAAAATCGAATCTCGCACCCCCCCACCTTTACTCTGCTCTACATTTATTTGCATCTCTTTTTAACATACATATAATTAGCATGTTGTATAATATAGTGCTGCATAAAATAACCATTTCAGAATTTAATGACTTAAAACAACATTTATTATCATAGTTTTTGTTTGTCAGGAATCTGTATAGACAGACCCTCTGCTTCTGGGGCTCTGATAAGCTGAACTCAAGGTAGTGGCCAGGGCTGTAGTCTCCTCAAGGCTTAACTGCAGATGGATCCATTCTAAGTTCATTCATGTGATTGTTGGTACCATTTAGGTCCTTGTGGGCCTTTGGATTGAGGGTCTTAGTTCAGTCCTGGCTTCTGGCTGTTGGCTGGGGCTGCCCTCAGCTTCTTGGCTCTTCACAGGGCCTCTCCAGAGGGCAGCTCATAAGATGACAGCTGGCTTCACCAGAGCAAGCAAGCAGGAGAGAGAGTGTGTGAGATAGACGTCATAGTCTTTATGATCAAATCTTGGAAGTGATATCTCATCACATTTACTGTGTTCTGTTTGTTAAGTCCAGTCCATATGCAGGGGAGGAATTATATTGAGAGGGTGAATACCAGGGACCATTGGGAGCCACTTAGAAGCAGCCCACCACACTCATTTATTGTTTATTGTTTGTGTGCCTCTCCCCACTGGAATGTAAAATTTCAGGAAGGCAGGTATCTCTGCTCTGTTCACTGTTGTATCAGAAACACCTAGAACAGTGCCTGCCACATTGTTTATTTTCTATAAACATTGTTGAATGAATGAATGAATAAACCTGAGTCTAGTTAACCATAGAATAACTTTTCGATTTCCTTCTCTGTCTTAACTCTTTTAGGTTTCACTTAGTCTTCCTTAAGTTGAATATGCCTCCTTCCCTTTTATTCTTTAGCCTTTTCTTAAAGGACATGTTTCCCAAGGTCTTATACATGATTAATGCCTTTGAATCAGTAGGTTTAAAATTTATTGTTACAAATCATCTTGTTTGTTCAGTTCAAGTTTTTTTTTTCAAGTTTTTTTTTTAAACTATTTTGTTTATTGTGGTAAAGACACATAAAGTTAATTTACCACCTTCACCATTTCTAAGTATACAGTTCAATAGTGTTGAGTATCTTCACATTGTTGTGCAATACATCTCTAGAACTTTTTCATCTTGCAGATTTGAAACTCTGTGCCCGTTAAGTACCAGTTTCCCTTCCTTCTAGCTCTTGGCAACTACCTTTCTACTTTCTGTTTCTGTCATTTTGAGTCTTTTAGATTCTTGCAGTAAATGGGATCATGCAGCATTTGTCCTTTTGTGACTGGCTTATTTCATTTAGCATGATGCCTTTGAGGTTCATGCAGGTTGTAGTATGTGATAAATTTCATTCCTTTTTTAAGATTGCATAGTATTCCATTGTAAGTATATACACATTTTGTTTACCCATTTACACGTTGATGGACATTTGAGTTGCTTCCGCCTCTTGGCTATTGTGAATAATGCTGCACTGTATAAGGGTGTGCTAATAAATCTGCAAGATTCTGCTTTGAATTCTTTTGATTATATCCCCAAGAGTGGGATTGCTGGTTCATATTGCCAATGCTATTTTTCAGTTTTGAAAAACCTCTTTACTGTTTTCCATAATGGCTGCACCGTTTTCAGTTTCCACCAACAGTGCAGAGGTTAAGGCTTTAAACTATTGATGATTTTGCATCTTGAATCTGTTCGCATGGATTGTAAGGAAGACTTTGTTGAACTTAGTTTATCCTCTCCTCCTAGCATTTGTCTTATTAAATAATCATCTTAGTTCTCCTCTCAAAAACAGATGTTAGGTTAATTTGGCATGACTTCTTGGTGAACCTCTGTTGTCTTTAGTGCTGATAGACTCATTTGAAAATGGGAATCACTGTCAAACTAATTGGTCTTTGGTTTTTAGGGTTTTCCTTCCCACCCAATTCGCCCTTTGAATATTAAGGCTGATTTTAATTATATCCAGTTTTATGGCACCTTTTCCGAACTAAAAAGTTTTTAAATTGCAGTGGACCCTTGAACAACACGGGGTTAGGGGCACCATCTCCCCCCTTCCACCCCTGTCGTGCAGTCAAAAATCCATGTATAACTTTGGACTTCCCCAGAACTTAACTACTAATAGCCTCTTGCTGACCGGAAGCCTCACTGCTAACATAAAAGGTTGATTAACACATATTTTGTATGTTATATATATTATATACTGTTTTCCTCCAATAAAGTAGCTAGAGAAAAGAAAATGTTATTTTAGAAAATCTTAAGGAAGAGAAAATACAGTAATAGTCCTGTACTGTATTTATTGAAAAAAATCTCTTTATAAGTGGACCCGTGCCGTTCAAACCTGTGTTGTTCAAAGGTCAACCTTATATTCATTGGCTCAGCTAATACTTGACTTACAGTCCATCTAGATGTTGAAGTTTAAAATCATTTAAAGCAGCTAGACAGTTTATAGTGTTTTCATTCTTCACTTAAAAAGCCTACTACTGCTATACTTACCCCGGTTTATTTTGATTTACTACTGAATAATTTGTAAGCATTAGGGCAATGGGTATGGATTCAGGGGAAGTGAAGAAACTGAGAATCCCATAGCAAGGCAGGTTAGAGGTTAAGCTTCCAGCAGAGCAGGCCTAGGGAGGGCCCTAGTAGAAGTGGGAGCTGAGACTACAGAAGTAAAAAGATAGGCATATGAGTTAGTTACTGGTCAAGGAGCAGAATATAAAGGTGTCTTGAGGGATGAAACACATTCAAGCTTGGCAGACTGGTTCAGGAATGCATTAAAGGACAGTGTGCTAATGGAATCCATAACTAGACCAAGAATTTGGACAATA